CCCTCTGCCTTGTGGTGGGTCATCTTTGCCTGAGGAGCTCTTGGATTAGCGGGACCTGAACAGAAACATGGTCAGGAGGAGAGCAGATGTTTCTTCTTTCTTCTGTCCTTGTATAACAATGCCTCCAAAGGGAGGTGGGCAAATCATCAATGTGTAAACTTTGAACATCTTTCCCATACAACTTTCTTTTTAAATATTACTTTAGGGAGGCAAAGGGAAACTATGAGATATTTAAAGGTAAAAGTTTCCCCTTGACATTAAGTCCAGTCATATCTGACTCTAGGGGGCGGTGCTCATCTCAGTTTCCTAGCCAAGGGAATCAGCATTTGTCTGCAGACAGTCTCTGTGGTCATGTGGCCAGCATGACTAAACACCGAAGAGTATGGCTTATAAGTCTTTCTGCTACCAGGTCTCTATCGTAACCTGAAAGTAAGTCCCATCATTTCCATACTTCTAAGTAAATTTAATTGGGTATTACAAGACTGCAACTCAAAGTGTATTTACTTGGCATTTTTCTAGTGGGCCAGCATAGGATCCTGTGTTTTTTACTTGGAAGAGATCTCTAGCGAGAACAGGACTTACTTTAAAGCAGATGCATTTATCATCAAGCTGTAACAATGTGTTCTGTGTGCCATTTACTTAGGGTAGCATCAGCAAAACTGCTAGATAATGGATGATAGCCAAAGAGCACAACTGCATGAGTGATTTACTGTTAAAAAGGCTAAGTCACAAAGACAATTGGCCAAATTCAATTTTGGTGACATCCTTGAGGGCTGTATTGCAGCAGTGGACTGGACCAAGGCAAAAGGGACAAGGCCAAAATGCCATAAATTCCAGCATATTTAAATATCAAGCTCTGACTGTCAGTAACTAAGCCTTGGAAGAGGCCTCTCGAACTTTATTATTGGAGAAAAACTGTGCAAAAGTTGGAAGTTTGGCCAAATGATCATCAGTCTGCTGGAAAGGGGAGTTGGCCATCTCCAAACCCAGAGAGGTGGATTTGGCCCATAAACATTCACTGATCCAGTGAAAGAAACCCTTGAACTCAGAGCTGATTTTGTGCATTCAGAAAAAGCGTATGCTAAAGTTCTCATGTATTGACTCCATCTCAGAATGACATATTTATTTATTTAATTTTTATATAGCCCAGTAGCCAGAGCTCTCTGGGCAGTCTAGAACAACACATAAAAATACAAAATACAAATACCAACAAGATTTAAAACATAATTGAAAGGTTTCCCTACAGATGTCACATTTAAAATGTTTCTATCTATATCTCAGGGACTGCAGGTGGCACAGTGGTTTACACCACTGTGCTGATGGGGTGGTTGATCGAAAGGTCGCCGGTTTGAATTTGCACAACGGGGTGAGTCCCCGTTGCTCCGTCCCAGCTCCTGCCAACCTTGCAGTTCGAAAGCATGCAAATGCAAGTAGAGAAAAAGGTACCACTTTGGTGGGCAGGTAACAGTGCTCCTGCACCTCGGTGTTTAGTCATGCCGGCCACATGACCATGGAAGCTGTCTGCGGACAAATGCAGGCTCCCTCAGCTAGGAAACAGAGATGAGCACCGCCCCCTAGAGTCAGGCATGACTGGACTTAATGTCAAGGGGAAACCTTTACCTTTTTTTCTATATCTCATCCAGGTAGCGTTTCAGGGAGAAATGCCAATATTTTTCTCTTCTGTAGTTGCTTTTTGGTTAAAAGGAGTTCATGAATTAAACCTTCAAATACAAAACTCCACTTCTACATCCTTAGTAATACAGTCCTATGAGACAAGTGGTCTTCTGAGCATTTTACTCAGCCGTCACTTGGCACAGTCAAAGAAACCTTCCTTGGTCATGCAATGGCAGCCATCTTAAGCACAGGTGTGGTTTAAAAATTTCAGGCATGATTCCCCAACATGTCCAAGAAAGATGCAAAAAAAGATTGCATACATATTGCATATAAGATGCAATATCAAGATTGTGTCCTGCAAATACAGGAAGGTCTGAGACATATGAAGAATGTTAATTAGGAAGAAAAGAACAAAACATTAAAATGTGTTAGTATTTATAGGACTCACTGTCTCTGTTTAAGCATCCTGCAAGTGTTTCTTGCTGGTCTCCAATACAGTAAATATTCATTAAATGAGCAACAACTGGATAATTAAAACGGCACCTATTCTACATTAATTAGTTTCTACAGAACCATCTCATTTAATTAACAAAAACAATGAGAAGCAGAAAGGGAAGCATTCTTACTTCTGTAAATGTACCAATCAATTATGATCAGCAACTTTTACTTATGCAAAGCTAAGGCTGCAGACCTGTGGACATTGACACAGAAGCAACCCTGGAGAACAGTGGGATTTATTTGTGGGTAAACATGCATGCATTTGCATCATAAAAGCACAGCTGACCATAAAGAGGGCTATAATCCAAAATGCAAATATCTGAAATATAGTGCATGTGAAGGAATCCCGGTTTCTCAGCCCTTAAGAATAGTAGAACTCCAGCAGTTTTATTGGTGAGAACATCCAGGACATCCAGAGGCAATCCTAGGACAGCACGGATGGGTAGAGGTGCACAAACCAGCTACAATTTCCAGAACATATATAGTGTTTTATAGGTTTTGAGCCACATACACAGCAGTTGGGGTTGATGATGAGCAACTAATGGGTATATACCAACAGATAATGTATTCATGAACGAAACAATGTGAAGAAACTGCAGAGGGGACATGACATAATGGTACAGTAAATATCAATCATTACAGAGTATTGATATGGCAAAGGGAAAGGCACATGGATCATAACAGGGTTTGGGTGTTGGTATTGACATGCAAGAAAACTAGTCAGGGCCATTTACTGCAGCCCAGCAAATTAACAGAATTAAAGTCTCAATGCAGCTAATTCCTAATGAAGTGAAGTGCTAACAATGTTACAAGCTTAACTTTGCATATGCAGTAGCCTCCTCAGCTGAGTGGAACGTCTCAGTCTCTTAAAGAATCAGATGACTTAATACAGCTTCAGGAAAACAAAGGAGCCTGGCTTGGGATTCCAGTTCTTTGTGGGCAAGAGGAGCAGGGACACTGGAGCTTTGATTTTATATCACAAAGGCACATACAGGCAACCTTTCTCTATAAAGATTTATTTGTATTTCCCCAACAATCCCCTCTTTTTCACTAGCCCTGCTATGTGACACAAGGAAGTGTAATCCAAATAAATTCCTCCTCTCTCCCAGAAGGTTGCTTCCATCACCAGGAGAGGCTGTCAGTGCCAGGCTCCCAGATTTATTTGGATTTCCACAACATGCATAATCCTTGCATAGATAGGAAAAAATTCTGTAATCCCAGAATCCCCACACTGGGTGGGGAATGCTGGGAGTTGTAGGCCTTTTGTTCATTTAAACATGCATAAGATGGTGTTGTGCATGCCTTGATTTTTTATGCTTAAAATCTTTCCACAAGTTTGCTGTTTTGAGTTATGGTGGCTAGCATTTTCATAGGTAATAAAACTCCAGGTCACTTTCCACACAAATAGTGAAACCTATGTTTTACCCTTTTGCTTAAGAATTTGGCAAGCCGGACTTTACAATAATCAAACCACATTAAATTTGACCAGATTATGGATAATCTTCTTCATTACATTTTTATCCTTTCCTTCACCAAGGAATCCAGCATAGTGTAAACTACCCCCCCCCCCCTTATACCTCTTATACCCTCACAGGAACCTTAGGAGATAAATCTGGTTGGCAGAGACTGATTGACCGAAGATCATGGAGTGAACGTTGTAGCCGAATGAGGATTTGAATCTGGATCATGCCATACCAATCACTGCACCACATTCTTGTTCTGCATGTGTGCATAGCCTGGAAAAAACATGGGTACTCAAAACCCAATTCAGTTATTGACTGGAACATAAATGCATGTATGCATGAGTAAATTTCAGGCCTTTGCCACCCCATAAAGTTTCACCAGAGAACAACTGGATAGGGAATTATTATATGGGACCAAAGAAACATTTCTCCACATGGAAGAAAAGTTAATATAATCCCCCCCCCCGCAAAAAAAAGGCAATGGCAGAACTGCGGCAGTGGGAGGTGGATAGAAACTTGAGGACAGCAATCTTGTACTATCGTATGCGACAAGAGGGTCTATTGAACTCAGTGAGATATACTTTTGAACAGACATGTGAAGTATTAAGCTTTCAAATGTGACTGAGATCTGCACACTACAGGTGCAACAACATTTCAGGAGAGCTGCAATGCCACTGCAAACCCACCGTCCAGGTATAGCGTTATAAGATGCTAATATAAGCTTTCACAAATGCAAGTCAGCAGCAGGAGAGAATCTAAACGGCACTTATTGTTCATCATCATAATTAAATTTATTTCAGGAAAAAATCTCAAGCATCTCACTTCAGGGATTAAAATATACACAATTTCACAATAGTTTAAAACAGTTGACCTTCTCCCCCAAAAAACTATTTTGTGGGGGGCGCACACAATCGCAGCAGCCTATCACTCAAAATGAAAGATCGCCTCGCTGAGAAAGAAAGAAAAAGCCTTCGACGTCTACTGCTCCGTTGAGGAGGAACCGCTGTGATTCATGATGTCGGAGACGGCACACAAGCAGGGCTTCATTCGGCCTCAACCCCGCGATATTTTAACAAGATTCGGAACACTGATCTTGCAGAGGCGCGCGCGCCCAGGCATCCACTAAGGCAGCGGTCGACACTAAAAACCTGTTGCGCGAGGTTCTGCTGTTTGTTGGGGGGGGGGGGAATGTGACCAGATCTACCCCTCACCCTCTGAAGCAGCCTCCCTCCGCTCCGAGGCTGCTGCTGCAGAGCCACGCTCGATCCCGTGTTTGATTTCCCCGCAAAAGGAGGTGCCTCTTACTGCTGAAAAATCGGTCCCCTTCCTCACCCACATCCCGGTTTTTCCCGGTGCAGCTCAAAGTCGAACGCCGAGCTATGGATTACGGGGCGATCGATGCGATCGTCTCCCTCGCTCGGCTAGTTCCCTGGTAAACGGCGCCCTCGACACAGCGGGTGCAAGAGAAGCAGCCGGAGAAAGTGCATGGCTCTGTCTGCTGCGTGCCTGCAGCACCAGGTACCCCGCAGGCAGGAAACGCTCCCCCTTTGCTGAGCACTCCCTCCTCCGTTTCTTTCTTTTTCTTTTTTCCTGGGGGGGAGGAGCAGGGAAATAGGAGGAGGTAGCGACAAGGCGCGACTTTGGCAGCCCGATCGCCTGTACTAGCCAGCCTTGCAAGCCAGCCTCTTTGCGTTTCTTGGGGCTTCCCCGCCGGAAGAGCGTACTCAGGGGATCGGGGCCGCATCCGTTTCCTCCGCGTGGTCCTCTGGATCTCTTCTTGTCCTCCAGCTTGCCAGGGGCGAGAATGCAGCGTGCCAGACTTGGCTGGAATGCGCACGCTTCCGCCCGCATTGTCGGTGTTTAATTCCTGCAACGCGGGTGGTGGGATCGGGGCGGAGGCTCTAATCTTCTAGGGGGTTCATGCATGTCTCCTCTGTGCAATAGAACCTCTTATGTTTCTCTGTGGAAAGGGCCTCGTGTCCAGGATAAGAGGGAACTTCGGCAGGTACCTAATCCCGCCTGGGCGCTCTTTCCGGATGCGAGGGCTCCTACAGTTATTTTTTAGCGATGCACAGGTGCGCTCTTAAGTGTCTGTGGTCTGAGCTACTAACATATTTTAGAAATAACCGTGGCTAAAATCAAGTACAGTGGTACTTCCAGGGAAATTCTTCAGGCGTGTTTGTATGCATACATGCAAACACTATAAATATTACACATCTGTATATAAATCATGTGTAAACACATGCACACACCTAGCTTGTCTGTATAGATACAGATGCACACACGTAGGTGTGTGCATATGTATAATTTATAAATGCATAGTATGCATACATATGTATAAATGTGTGCATATTACAGTGTTTACATATGTAAACACTATATATATATATATATATATATATATATATGAACTACATATACATTTCCTTTCTGTGTTTTCAGTTCACTCCACAGTCCCCACACCACCCACTGAATAGGTATTGGATGAATTGATATGCAGGTCACAAAAGCCTTTGCAGGAATAAATGTTTGTCTTTAAGGTGTCATAAGACTCTTCCTTGTTTATAGTCTAAATGAAAGTTCATTGAGTCGACAGTCGTACAGCTGAAGCAGATAGGTGGGACATAAGAGAAGCAAGATGATGCTTCTGAACTGCTGAATGTTTCATACTAGTTATGAGAGTTGAAGGCAAAAGAAGAAGGGGATGGCAGAGAATGAGGTGGCTAGGTGGGGTCACTGAAGCAGTCCGTGTGAGCTTAAATGGACTCTGGGGGATGATGGAGGACATGAAGGCCTGGAGGAATGTTGTGCATGGGGTCGCGATGGGTTGGACACAACTTCGTGACTAACACAACAACATGACAGTTGGTGTCATTCCTGAGGCTCTTCCCCAGGGTCTCTATAAGATAAATTTCCGAGTGGGCTACCTGATATAGCTTGTCTGTACTGCACATGCAAATGAATGAGTGCACATGATAATACATTGCACAGGCAGCTGTTTAAATGATGGTGAGGGTATTTTTAACATTGTGAAAGACAATTACTTTTTGCTAGTGCAAAATGATTTGCTTCATTTTATTATATGCTGCCTTTCATTTTGGTAGTAAAGATCTCCCTGTTTTTATCTTTACAGCAATCCTGCAAGATAGGTTAGGGCTAAGGTAGCGACTGAGCTGGATCAGTGAGAATGAGAAGGCCTGTTTTGGTCCTCCTGAGGCAACAGTACATCCTGGGCCAGCACTGGCTTGGCTTGCATGTTTCCTATTGAGCTGCTGTGTTTGAATAAAGCTCTGGCCAGTTCAAATGCTATCTGCTGGTTGAAGTCCCCACTTGTCTGTGAAGATCACTGGGAGACTTGGGGCCAGGCACTGATCCTTAGCTTAACCTACATCACAGGGTTGTTGTGAGGATAAAATGGAGAGGAGGAGGATAATGCAAGCTACCTTGCTTTCCTTTCACAGAAAAAGGAACTATAAATAAATATAATACAAATATAATACAAATAAATACAAACCTTAGTATGGGTTTTCATTGAATCATGGATTATTGTTATGTGTGCACTGTGGTTTTACTATGGCTTGTTAACCATGAACAACCCAGGAAGAGAATCCATAGTTTGTTGTGGATTGTGAATTCTGGGTTTTCACTGTTAACTTGAAGCACACTGCAGCATTCATATGTAACAATAAAACTCAATTCAACAACAACCCATTTTTAATCCATGCAGTGGGTTGTAGGGTTTCTTGAGAGTGTGTGTGGTGTGAGGGGGGTCTTCAGTGAATATTCTCGATGCTTTGTATGCTAAGAATGGAGATGCTTGTGTTTCTCTTTGAATTCTCTGTCATGGAAGATATTGTGGTCTTTTGCTTCCAATAAGGGATGGAAGATGATTACAACTAAAATATACAGCAGGACTTTATCCATGCAGATCAGTTCCAAGCCCCCAGCAGATTCTTGAAATAGTGAACACTGTATTATATATACTAAATACAGTACATTTCTTTTCTCATAATTTCATTTGATCTTACCTCAGCATTTGATTCTTTGCTTTCCCTGTTAAAGTAAGAATTTTCACTTACAGGAAGCACTTTATGACCTCTCTTTGGTACTTTACGGCACTTTGCGACTTCTCTTTTGTCTAAGGTCCATCTCCGTTAACTGCAAGTGTGGTAATGGACTCATTGGATATGTGGGTTCTGCTGTATAGTGAAAACATGCATTTTTATTGTACATAGTTTACTGTACATGTGTATGGACAAATGTCATGTATGAGTTTATTACTGAGGGCAGGGTAAGAGTCCCACTACAGACAGTCCTGGAGCCCATCTTGGCCTTGTTCTGGCCCTGTGGAGGGAGAATGCAGCTGAGCAAAACACAAACCAATATTTCAGCAGACCTGATGACTCTAGTCCTATGTAAAAAATGCTTAACTGCTAGGGTGATTGCATTATAAGAAACACGCTACCTTCAAACAAACCATGTGGTGTCTGTTTTCATATACTTTTTTTCCCCTGCTCCCTGCCAGTCTGCTGTACTGGTTTCAGATTCAGACTAGGTCTAGGGAGACCCATGTTCAAGTTCCTATTCAAACGTGATGCTCACTCAGTGACTTTAGGTCAACCTGCATCTTCCAGGTGAAGAAACCTGAGGGTAAAATGGGCAGGGGCAGAACCATGTGACCCACCCTGAGTGCCTTGGGAGAAGAGCATGGTTTTTCAAGAGTGTAAGAACATTGTAAACATCAGTAAGCTTTGAGAAGGTGTGTAATTTACATCATGGAAGCAATGCAGGGAAAGGGGTTCTGCATGCTTTCTTCCACAGCTTCTGCTAGAGTGAAATAATAGCTTCCCTTGAGCAATATGAGCAATACAAAAAGAATTTTGGTCATGAATCTTGTGCATCACATGTGGTTTGGACCTTATGACATTGCTGCTTCTCTGAATGTTTTTCACCAAAAGAAAAAAAAGTGAAAGAAAAGACTCCTCTCCTGTACTTTTCACTAAGTCTGAGTTCAGTCTATCCTCTTGAAATTTCTCCTGCTCTGTTCTTTGGGGGAGTTGAAAGAAGGAAGTGCCACTATAGGAATCTGACAGCCTATGTTGTTGCCATACATGGGACAGCCTGTATTTATCACATGAACAAATTAAGCCCCTGTTTAAATAAGTAAATACCCAGACTCTGTTATCAAGTTGTGGGGCCTATTTCGGATTGCCACATCCGAGGGAGGCTTGCATGGTGGCAACAAGGAGAAAGACCTTTTCAGTGGTGGCCCCCAGTTGCAGAATGAGCTCCCCACTGAGGTCCACCTGGTGCCAACCATTTTGTGTGGGGGAGCACCAGGTAAAGACCACCCTCTACTGCAGGGCATTCAAGTGGGGTTGCTTCTGGGCTGACATCTAGGGTAAATTGATGATGATGATGATGATGATGATGATGATGCAGCAGCAGCTCCCTGACAGTTTTCTGCATGTGTGTGGCCAGTTAATGAGCAAACTTTCTCCCCTGATTCTTCTTGAATAAACATGACATGCCGATATCTCTTTATCATATATCTGCCTGTGTTCTCTGTTAATGTGTCAGGAATCTACCAAACTACAACTGTTGTACTTTCCTATTGTATAGGTTACTGTGGCATTCCAAAGTGCCCTTGATTTGAAGCAATGGCTTTTACAATGACAAAGAATTAGAAAGACAGTGATTATTTATTGAACAAGGCATACTCAGACATTACGGGTCAAAGGCAGGCCTGGCAATGCCTATCAGGGTCAGCTACATGTAATCTCGCCTAAACTGGTTGGCACAAGTCACTAATTGCATAATTCAAAGTCTTTATCCTTCATGGCTCTAAAATAATAGTTGGTAAATAAAATAAAGTTTGGACAGACCTAATATTCAAACATAGGGTATTTTATCACATGTGGAAGTAACTTGGAACAGATCTTCATCAAAGTACATTTCAGTACCTCTCAATGAGGATACACACTTAACACTCTGTTAATGGGTGGGGGACGGGTTCTACAAGCAGGACAACTAAATGCCATTAAGGTGCTTAGCACAGTTTTGGTCCTCTTCTTCACGGAAATGCTGAATGTGCCTTCTCTTGCTGAGAGCTGGTGTGGTGAGAATGTTTGGACTTGGGAGATCTGCGTTCTGCTCCCCACCTAGCCACGAGGCTTTCTGAGTGACTTTGGGTCAGCCACTTGCTCTCAGCCTAAGCCACCTCACAGGGTTGTTGTGAGGATAAAAATGGGGAGGAAGAGAACTACGTAAGCCTCCTTATGTTCCTTGCAAGTGGGAAAAAAGGTGGGGTATAAATGTAATTTAACAATAATACTGCAGCTAGGGCCTGTATAAGCTAAAAATCTAGGTGTTGGAGAGAAGTTTTCTTCTTAATTTCTACCTGATAAATCATGGCAACAGGTGCTTACAAGAGAGTTAAACAAAGAGGTAATCTTGAGCTACAGTGATTTGCATAACATGTGGCTTGGCTCTCATTCTCTCACCTATACTTTTATTGTAATGCTTTTAAAAATATTTTTCACAACATCCGTAACAGCAGCTCTTATGAAGAAAATCCTATTGGTTCTTTAAATGAGGCGCAGGAGGCAACAAATAATTATAAAGTTATATAAATTATATAAATCATATACATCTCAGTCAGTACATCCCAGGCCACAGCCCTTCCTCTCTGAGGAGGCATGGAAATAACCTCAGCAAGCTTACATGTGCTAGGAAGCCTGGTCTTCACATGAAGTGGTATGACTGAAGTGTAAGAGGGTTGAGTGTTTGCTCAAGCCCCTGTCAGTTTTGTTCACACATTTTCAGGTTTCTGGAATGTCGACTAGAGAGGGTAGTGTAACCATAGAAACAAGGATGTACAACATGGGCAGCCATGGTTCTGTTATACCAACTCCAGCATTTTTTTAAATCACTGTCTTCAGCCTTAGAACATCTGTTGACCACATCACCATGACTGAAGAGGGTGCTTGGCTTTGTGGCTGAATTGGTGTGATAGTTTTCATACAGACATGGGTTTGTGTGTGCATTTTCACTCTCTGGTTTATAATAATTAGTAAGCGCAGTCACCAGGGAATACCTTCCGCAAATAACGAGCAGCTTTGGTTCAGTGGGTAAGCAGAAACTTACAATATTTTGTCTTCAGCTCCTGGAAGCCCTTGCCAGTATGGCCAATAGTGAGGAATACTGGGAGGAAAGCTTCTGCCCATCCTTTTGTGGGAGATGGATTGAAATGAGGCTGATTTTATCTCATTCAGCTTCTGATTTCAGACATGTCTGGTTTTGTTTATTTATTTATTACATTTTTCTGCCACTAGTAGCAACATGCTTGGCTTTATATTCTGCGTGCATCTATGCAGAAGGAGGCTCAGTTGAGTTCAGTTGGATTACTCCCAGGTAAGCCTCATACAGGAGTGCAACCTAGTTGATCAGTGTTTATGCAGACTTCATTAATGTGCTTAATTAGCTTTTTGTACTGTGCCTTTAGCTGCTGGATTGCTGGCGTTAATAATCAATTTTAAAAATCAAATAAAGTAGGGCTTTTGCCCAGTGGTTAATACATTTTTAGAAAGGTACTGGGCCTTAGGCTTGCTTGTAAATAATATCCCTCTGACTTGGAAATGCTTATTCTAAAGCGCAGGAAAATGTGAGCTTCACCTGGTTATGTGGAGTAAGGGGGCTGCTTCTGCCCAGAGGATGTCTTCTTTTTATTCCAGAGATGAGTTTTGGCATATGTTTTGGGGCTCATGCATAGTGCAAATTAAGTCCCACTTTTGCTAAAATCCATCCTGGCAGATTATGCCTATGGTGAATATTATAATAGGTTATTGTATTTATTATTTTATGTTTTTGTATGTTTTTAAATTATTTTCTTTAACAATGCAAACAATTACCCTCATAGGTAAAGGTAGTAGTTTATTTACTATTATTTGTTTCTTATATTCTTCCCTCCTTTGTTGCTGCTCATAGTTCCCCAGAGCTGCTTATAAATATCCATAAACTAAATTGAGTAAAATACCATTAGAAAACTAAAAATCAATCACAGAATAAAATAACAGCATGAAATTACAAAATAATTACTGATATCACTAAAACTGATGAAACAACACCAGCTTTTCTGCAAAGTAAGGTCATGCAGTTCACTCCTATGTAAGCTTACCGGGAAGTGATTCCCACTGAGTAAACATGTATAGGATTGAAAATGCTGTAGTGCTGCAGTCCTGTGTGCATTTACTCTAAAGTAAGCTCCATGACGTCAGTGGGACTTGCTCCCACATAAGGAGTGCACAGGTTTGCAGTGTTTCTGCATGAAATACAACTCATTGCATTAGGTGTACACAGCTTTGCAGCTGACAGACCAAGCCTGCATATACTTAATGAAAAATAAGCCCCACTCTGTTCATAAGGGTTTAATCCTATATTACGAGTCACAGGATTGCAGCTCTAGGGTCCTAAAAATGGGCAGGGAGCCATACAAGCCCCTGTAGGTCAGAAGATTTTTTTTTTAAATACCAGCTCTGGTTTTGTCTGTCCAACTTGGCCTTCCATAACCTGATGTCATCCAGATGTTTTGTGACTCTAATTCCCATCAGCCCCATTAAGACTGATGGGAATTAGAATCACGAAACATCTGGAGGACACTATGTTATGTTGAAGTCAACTATCCATTCAGTCTGGCAGCTGTTCTGTAGGATCTTGGGCGGATATTTGCCCAATCATCTGCCATTGATTAGAAGCCTGGAAGCTTTTGTTGCATCAGAGCATGTCCTCTACCATTCTCCTAAATATGGCCTGGAAACTCAGTTGTTTGGGAACTGGTCCTGCAGCAAAGGGTTGTGTAGGTAGTAGCCCCAGGCTGCACATCGGGAATGCTGAGTTATAAGGAACGACGATTAATGTCCATCCTGCATCCAGATGTGGGTATGTGTCGGGAGTTTGTAACTCACCACAGTCGCACAGATAGAAACCAGGCTGTTTGAAAATACATATTTTCAACACCAATACTACCTCTTTTTGCAGTGTACATTCTTTAAACAGAGCTGTAAATGCATGGCTTGTGCACCCTTCGTTATTTTGCTTATTATTCTGATTTGACTTTGGGTGGCAACTATGCTATTTAAAAAATCATTATTTACCCTGTAAACATTGAACCCTCTGAAGCTTGGCTTGTTCATTTGGCAACTTCCAAGCTCCTCCAGAACTCAGCTTTTCCACTCATTCAAACTGTGTGTCACACTATCTATCAATCTGGCTGATGCCAAATGTACTTAAAGATTAATCTCTTCATACTGCAGTGGGCTTTTTGCCACCTGCTGTATGTAACGGTCTATGGTTCTGTGTAAATCAGCTTTAAATGTATTTATTTTAAAATCAATATTTGTGTATGCCTGACAGTTTGGTGCAGTTTCTGAACCGAGCTTTCACAGGAATATTATGCTGAGAGTACTGCTTAAATATAATTAAATATTGAATTAATTAGTGAGGCTCAAGAGCTATTTTTAACTTTCTTTTTTATTGGTTTTGTTTCATGCTAGTTCTAAAAGCACAAGACTTCTAGGCTGCGATGGAGCACGTGTTCACTCCACTGGAATGTCTGCTGCCAACTGGTATTGTATTTATTTCTTTTAAGAATGTTTTTGTGCAAGTGTACCCTGTACCCTCTTACCACATTAAGAGCTACTTTAGTGATTTGACAGACAACGGTGGGGATGGTATCTAACATTTGAAAATGGTCACTGATTTGGGGTTTAACTTAAGAGAACCCGTCTTTAATGTTTACACTACCAATGCAGCAAGAGAGGATGGCATCATGGATCCAGCTTTCCTAATCCTTCCCAGCTATGGTCACTATGCAGCAAAATTGTATGGTGAATGACAGGATGGAAAGAGCAAGGCAAAAATCACACTGGTAGGAGAAATGCCTACCATATTGCTACCAGTAAATATGGTTTATCTGGGTTTCCCTGATAGCCCTTTCATGATTATAGAATGATTATATAATCTGGTTTTTTAATTTTTATATATTGAATTTTTATACCACCTTTATGAAGCCAACTGAGGTGGTTTACAACAACCATAGAAAATAAAAACCATCGTTCAATAAAAACATAGTGAAACATTAAAAACAAATCACAAAGGCCAAGTCGGAAAGATGTGCTCTGACCCCTTTCCTGAATGCAGAGGGAGTGGGGGCAGAAGGAATGTGTGCCAGAGTTTGGAGCAACGCAGGAGAAAGCCCTTTTGTGTGTGCTCTGCAAGGGAGGGTATCTTTGAAAAGGCGAACATAAACCCTGGCACCCACAGGAGGTATCCTTGCTACATCCTGCAGCTGCTACGAGATTCCCACCTGCTTGCTTCCAATCTGCCTGTGAGGCCTATTCAGGAACCACAGTTTGTTCAAAATACAGCTGTCAGACTTGCGGCCAGGACCAGTTGGATGGAATGTGTCTTGCCAATTTTAAAATCACCTTCACTGGCTTCTGGTCTGTTTTTCAGCTTAATTCTGAGTAATGTTAAAGCCCTCGACAGCTTGGGAGCTGGGTATCTGGGTATCGGCTCCCACATGAACCTGCTGCATAACTAAGTTCCTCATCTAAGGCCCTCACACTGGGCTCCCCTGCTTTCATCACTTAGGTGAGCAGGAACCCAGGAATGGGAAATTTCAATTGTGACATCCAGTCTGTGGGAGATTCGAATCTGGAGAGGCTCACTTGTGATCAAAAATGAATGACTTCTAGCACCAGGCCAAAGTTTCTTTGTCCACCCAGGCTTTCTTAAATGTTCTACTCTGATCATGGTGCTGTCTGCCAGCTATATTTGTTCTGTTCTTTTAGTATCCCTTGGATTTTAATAATTGTTGTTAGTTGCCATTTATTTTAATGTATAATCTGCATTGGGTATATTTATGCATCAAAAGGCAGAGTAAACATATTTCTACTTAAATAAAGATCCTCTGACCCTTGGAATTTCGGTCATCTTCCACAAGCCTATATGCCTTGCTATTTTGAGAAGGAAGGTCTCTAGTCAGTGGCCAGGAGAACTGGAAAATCTGGTTTTCTCAGTGCTCCAAATGTTCATCAAGAGTTCTTGGAACATTGTATTTCCTAGTGCTCCCTGGGCCTTGTTTGTTGAAATAAAACCAACAGGAAGAGTTTAAAAAAGGGCTTCCTTTTTTTCTGCCTTCACAATAACTAATGCAGCAGCAGGAAGGTATTTCTGTGATGGGAAGGAGGTTGAAGGAAATTTGGGAGTATTAGAAATGGGTAAACTCTGAACTAGAAAAAAAAAAAATGGGTCTTACAATGCTAGCTTCGTATTTGCAGTAAGCCACAGTAAGCCACAGCTGATATTCCTTGCCGCCAACCAGAAGCTTCTAGGGTACAAATCCAGCACTCTTCACAAAACCTAAAGGTCAGGTTGATCTGGCTGAAAGATCAGGCTTGGATCCTTGTCTGCTCTCCACAGCCAGGTATACCTCCATGGTATGATTTTGGTGTTTGCTGATTCAAAGGAATGTTTCATATTCTTTTGCTTTACTTTAGCTGAGTTTGAGGTTTTAAAAGATAAATATGTTATGCACATCTGAGCTATTGATGTTATGGGTTTTTTTCTCCCCCACTGGCATCTGGCAATCCATTGCCCTCGATTAAATGAGCCAGAGCCATTTAATGGTTGGGAAGAGAACATGCACAAGGCAAATACTTGTAAAGCTGAAATAGTATTTCCACTAGCAAAATCTTTCAGTTGCTACTTTTCCTGGCACCACCTCCTTACACATTACCATTCCTTTATGCCCTGCTTTAAACCAAGGTCACCTCTTTGTCCCAGGAGTTCACAAAATAGTTTACCATTAATTGCAGATCACTTTGTTGCACCCATGTGTGCAGGGGCATTATGACTCTTCTCCACTGTAACATCACGGAGGAATCATAATACAACTGTGCCGAATGTTTAGGGGTAGGTTATAAAAAGTCTGCCCTCCCCACAGCACCCAGTCAGAAACACTTGGTCAGAGTGTTGTTTTGAAAAGCAACAAGAGTCTATGTATATTAAAGTTGTATGTTTTGTGATAGATAGATAGATAGATAGATAGATAGATAGATAGATAGATAGATAGATAAATGGTGGGTCTTAATGACATACAACTAACTGATTTTAGTGGGATATCTGTGGGTGGGAGGGAGGAGGAAGAAAAAAGAAAAAAAGTATTCAAGCAATTATGTTCCCATGCTCATTGGAAGGGAAGATGAGACAGCCATAACTGTTCTTTCGAACTTGGGGAGAAAACAAGAATTTATTTGTGATTTGTCTTTAGCTAGTTCCATGATTTTAAAGCTCAAGAGTGTTGTGATCAGCTCAGTGAACCCAGTTCCAAAAAATTAAGGAACTTATTTAAAACTTTTAATTAAATGACTTTTCTGCAAAACACATAGACTTGTTTTTACATTTGGTTCAGTAGGAGTCAAATGAGTAGATTCTGTGGACTGTCGTATAATGCGTTGGGTCTTTAACTGGAAAGCATTTAAAACAATTTATTTTATTTTCCAGTTGTTGGCCTGTCGCTGTTGCTTTATTTTGTAGAGGTAATAACACACTTCATTTAATGCAGTTATTTCACCTTCCTGTGCTTTTTAAGTACCTGGAATGTTCATTCATGGGCCTTCCCCCCTCTTCCCCATACCTGGTAGTTTGTGCTAGTTGTTTGACTTAATTAAACTTACTGATTTCAGTGTATAGCCTGCCCTGTGCTCAGGATGGAAAACTATGGGATTTTGTTTTGTTTTTAGTCATGGAGGCTGATTAATCCACAGTCCTGAAAAGTACATGTTGTCTTTCGAACTCTTAAATTCTTACCAAACAGCAGAGCATTTTAGCTATATTCTGATGCTCTGCAATTGATCAACACCTGGGTGGGCAGCCTGTGGTGCATGGGCTGCACATGAGACAGGAAGGAGTGCGTTGTGGCACTTGCTGGAGGGCCTGCTTCAGTTCAGAATCAGATCTCCTGGCTCAATAGACTAGAGGCAGAGCCTGAAGAGAGTAGTACCTTCCTTCTCAGACATTTGCGTATGACCTGTGGCTTGTTTGGGAAGACAATGCCTATCATTATAGTGCAGGGATAGGCAACCTGATGCCTGCTGCTGTTTTGGATTACACTCCCAATATCCCTGTCCATTGATCCCATTGGCTAAGGATGATGAGACTTAGAGTCCATCTGTAGGATTGCCTGGCCCTGGTTACCTGTGTCTTCAAAACATAGAGATCACATGATCTGACAATAGGAGGTTCAGAAGCTGTGCAGTCTTGAGTAGGCAAGTGTCATTGTCACACACCGTCTACATTTACCTGTCAGTGACGGGCTGAACAAGGTGGCTGATGTGTCCTTGGAGCAAAGTGGGTGATGCTTGATTTTTTGTCCCATTTAATTGGCTTTGAAGCTTTGTGAACAATCTCTGTTGAATTGAAATCACGTGGTGGTGGTGGCGGTGGTATTATTATTATTATTATTATTATTATTATTATTATTATTATTATTATTTGCTTTTTTATAGCTCCCTTCCCTCTAGTAGCTCTGGGCAGTGTACCTGGTTCTGCCTTTCTCACTACCCTGTGAGGTAGCTTAGGCTGAGAGAGGATGCCTGGCCCAGTGTCATCTGTAGAGTTTCAGGGCTGCATTGATGATGATACTATTTATTCATGTAATTTTGTGAGAAGATCAGGTATTTTGCCTGAGTTGCAAAAACTGGTATGAATGACAGGAAACTTGTTTCTACCAGAATTTAACAGAAGTGGGGTGGGTTGCTTTTGCAGCACTGGGTATCAATTACAAATGCCATTAAAATATTCTGAGATTATCTGTTTTATTTTAATTTGAGCAAAGTATTGTGTTGCCAGTTGCACTGATTGCACTGCTCTTTGTAATCTAAGTTGTAATTCTGTGTAATCATTAATAGAACCATTTGGGGGAGAAACAGAATGTTGGCTAATTTTGAGTTGCGCCTAATGCACCTTTCATGCTTACAGTCTTTTAGTAGTCCTTATAGCACTCTGTAAGCCCTTTATTGCACAAGGTGCGGCTAAAGCGGAAGGAAGAGTGAGTCCGCTTAGGACATTTAGTTGGTGCCTTCTTTAACATTTGAACTGGATCATTTGACCAGAAATCTGCTCAGAGAATGTCTGTTGTTAGTCAGATTAAAACACACAGAGAGAATAATTCTATTTTTTCAGTTCATACTAGTTGCTGTAAAAGTGCATCAACAGTGATGGTTTGTCCTTAGCCAGTTATGGGGGAAAATGAATCTGAAGGCAGTTGTCAGAGTTGTTCTTTGTATCTGCAGTTTTGTTGTCCACTGGGACAAGTGGAACACTTTCTGTGTGCTGAAGAGAACCATGAAATAAGTAAAAGTGGGCAGGAGCCACACCCCCTCATGTCACCTGGCCTGCAAGGGCTGAAATCTACACCCCCCCCCCATGTTTTTTACCCCCATATATGGACCTTGAGATGAGAATCTTCCAGCTTGTGATGAGATTTCTCTTCTGGCTATATAAACCAAATCTTAGAAAGTCTGAGCACCAAGATATCCTGTTCTGACCCTCTCCTTTGCTC